TCCCTGTTTTTAACAAGGACGACGGGAGAAGCCCAGGAGCTAAATGAAGGCTTGATAAAGTATTTTGCAAGCATTTTTTCGACTTCCTGTTGTAATATTGCACGCTCCTACGTAGAAACACGGTACGGGAGTCGGTGAATGTGAGTCGCGTGGCCAGTATTGATGCAATAGATGACGACGGTCATTCGGCTTAAAGAGGTGCTGCAAGTCGAAAATGCTACGATAGCCTTCAAGAACGTAGCAAAGCGCTGCAGCTTGCTCAGACGTGAGGTCCGATGACACCATCCGCTCGATGTCGGTGCCCGAAGAACGTGATGGAGTTGAACCACTGACTGAGCTGCAACGATTGTTCACTTTGAAGAACTTGACATGGTCGCCTTGGAAGGCGGTGATTTCGGACAGGAAGATAGTGGTAAAACTTGGGTGGTGAGTGAAAAAGTTGACAAGTGGAAGGAAAGTGCGGTTTCCCGTAACCGTCAAAATCATATGCGGCACCGCAACCCCACGCATAAGCAACACGACAGGAACTGGGGCCACTATGTAATCACCGTCAGGTACTGGCGGCGTGGAAGATAAGTCGACATGTGTGAAAGAGTTAGGCGGGAGGCGCGTGAAATTAATGTAGCAGAGGCTCGTTTTTGGTGGGCTGGTCGGGTCGGAAAAGAGAGGTAAATCGAGATGGAGAGAACCAGCTGAACAGTCTATGAGGGCAGAGTGCGTGGCTAGAGAATCGATACCAAGAATGAGCTCATGAGGGCAATGTTCAATAACGGCGAAAAAAACGACAGTGCTTCTCTCCCCTATAGAAACTCGGGCAGAGCACATGCCGAAAGTCGAGGCAGTTCCTCCATTGGCGACTCGTACAGCTTGGTGGAGGGCGGGCGTGACAACGTTTTCAAGTCGGCGGTGAAGGTTACCGCTCATAATGGACAGATGCGCGTCAGTAGCTATCAACGCTCTGACACGTACATTGCCGACAGTAACGTTCAAAAGGTCCCAAATCGTCGTTAACGTTAAGCGAGGATTTTTTTACGAAGGTCGTCAACGCAGCTCAACCCCCAGAAGCTGAAAGGGATAGATTTTCGGTTGGAGGTGCTGTGGATAGGTCAGGAAGGCAGCACGCGTTGTGGGGACCACCAGCAACCGGGGCTGACGACGAGCAGGGGACCGTGACCGGTCCTAACGAGGTCTGCTCAGAGGTGCGGCAGAAGCGGAAAATGTGGTCGGCATTGATAGAGAATGTGGTTGAGACGACTGGCGGACAAAGTGGCGTGAGAAAGAAGTGCATGATGTGATGGCGTAGCCCAACGGTTGCGGCAGTGACGAGCGATATTACCAACGCGCCGACAGTTAAAACATATGGACCTGTCATCAAGGGTACGCCATTCGCACGGATTGCGTTGAAGGCGAAGAGCAGAAGGGGGACGATAAGAAGGCTCAGCAGAGTATACGGCAGGAACATGATTTAGGCCGACATTCGATAACTCTTGACGAACTACGGCTTGTATCAAAGAGATCGTGGTCGGAGAAGGCGCAGGCGTCGGGAATGGCGTGGCTACCAGCTGTGCTGTCTCGACCTCTCGATGAATGATGCCTGTGAGGTTGTCACATCGAGGAGCCTGGTGGAAGGCGTCGTCACGCAACTGTTATGTATCAATATCAATATACAGTATTCCTAACCCTGTCCTTCTCAATAACAATAATGACAGTTTTTCAGAGCGAAAACAAACTTTCTTTTACCCAAAATAAAACCGAGCTATGGCAGATGTACAGCTCGCTTCTACGGTATTCATCTTGGAAAGCGCATACCTCTTCATACTAAATCATCTCGATCACTGCAATCTTTAAACACAACATAAAAAACATATTTTTATCATCCCTTCACACTTCTGTATTGGTATTTTTAAGCTTTGTATATTGTTAATAACGTATATATATATATATATATATATATATATATATATATATATATATATATATATATATATATATATATATATATATATATAAATATGAAAGTAGATGCGCTTTCACATAACAACTGTTTATTGTGCCGACGTTTCGACAAGAACCCCGTCTTTTTCAAGGCATAATACTATTTACACATGTTCCGTGTCCTCTTATAGCCTGTCGAGACAGGAGGGAAGGGATCAAAAGAGAGAGAGGGAGAAAAAAAAAGCGAAACGTGAGGACAAACATTAAATAAAATATAGAAAGTCTAGGAGAAGGAGCAAGACCGACACGGCGTAATTAGAAAGGGGCAGCATTTCAACAGAGTAGGGCAGAGGTAGATGAGCATTGTCATCATTGTCAACAATACCTCCCCCGCACCCACTCTTCCCCAAGTGGGCAGTGAGCCGCCGTTCTTGTATTTCACCTTTCCGTGTAGTCCGCTGGCGGCTCGTTCCTCTTTGAAGTTTAGGACAAGTTAATGGGGAGGGCTTAAGTGCTTTGAGTGCGTGCAGGTGGCGTCGGGAGGAATGAAAAAGCCGGTGATTGAGGCACCGCCATCGATATTCATTATATGCATTGGCTCCTTGTCAGTGCAGGAACAGAATGTGCGTTAAAGAATTAAAGAAGGAAAAAAAAAGAAGAACAGGGGGAAGGGGGGAGGGAGACTGTACGACTCCGGGACAGTCACCACACAGTTGCGGCGCACAGGGAAGATATGCGCGCATGTAGGAAAAAGTTAACGAAACCACCTAGCTGTCAGCTCCTTGTCAGTGAAGGAACAGAATGTGCGTTGAAACTTGACGAAGAAAAAAAAAAAGGGGGGGGGGGACCGTACGACATCCGGGACCACTTATCTGTGCGTTCCGGCTGTGCTTGATGAGGCAAATCATTTCTATGTTGTCAGATGCATAGGCCAAAAGCTTTGTTAGCGGGTAATATTATTGTCGTAATAAAACTGGGCTGATTAGAGAGAAGCGTTTGCGTCTTTTAGCGGTCGTTACGCAGACAGAGTGCCTGGGTGTTCATTTATTCCGTATTTTATTGTGTTAAATTTGGAAATAAAATAAGATTCCCGTTGTTCCCGTTCTCTGATTGTTCGAAAGTTGTTTTCTAGTAGTGTAACCCTGGTGTCGTCAAAGCTATGGTCTTTTATTGTGCAGTGTCTTGAAAGTGGAGGGCCTGGCAGAGATCGTACATGTGCCCGATGTTTGTTGAATCTTATTCTAAACGGAGTGTCTGTCTGGCCCACGTATTGCTTGTTACATACCCCACATTCCAGGAGGTATATGACGTTGTCTGAGTCGCAGTCTAGTGCACCTCTTATCCTGTGCTTAAAATCCGAGTGGGTGCTTTTCGCCACTGTCGTTGTCTGCATGTGTTTGCAGACCTTGCATCTGCTTTTTCCGAAAGGGTGACACCCAATTTGAGGTTTCACACCTATCTTTGAATTTAATAAATTATCCTTTATATTTTTCGGCCTTCTGTATACAACACAAGGACGAGAAGTGAAAATTTTGGATAGTCGCACGCTCTGTTCCAATATGTTAAAGCGTTTTCTTAGGACCTTGTTTAAGACCTTGTTTCTAATTACGCCGTGTCGGTCTTGCTTCTTCTCCTAGACTTTCTATATTTTATTTATTGTTTGTCCTCCCGTTTCGCTTTTTTCCCTCTCTCTTCTTTGACCCCTTCCCTCCAGTCTCGACAGGCTATAAGAGGACACGGAACATGTGTAAATAGTATTATGCCTTGAAAAAGACGGGGTTCTCGTCGAAACGTCGGCACAATAAACAGTTGTTATGTGAAAGCGCATCTACTTTCATATTTATAACCTTGCGGCAACCGAAGTTATTCTTCTATATATATATATATATATATATATATATATATATATATATATATATATATATATATATATATATATATATATATATATATATATATATATATATATACACGAAAGTAGATCCGCTTTCACATAACAACTGTTTATTGTGCCGACGTTTCGAAGGGAACCACGTCTTTTTCAAGGCATAATACTATTTACACATGTTCCGTGTCCTCTTATAGCCTGTCGAGACAGGAGGGAAAGGGTCAAAAGGAAAGCAAAAAAAAAGGAAAAAAAAGAAAGAAAAGAGAGGGAGAGAGAAAAAAAGAAGAATAAACAGCGAAACGGGAGGACAAACATTAAACAAAATATAGAAAATCTAGGAGAAGAAGCAAGACCGACACGGCGTAATTGGAAAGGGGCAGCATCTCAACAGAGTAGGGCAGAGGTTGATGAGCATTGTCATCATTGTCAACAATACCTTCCTCGCACCCACTCTTCCCCAAGTTGGCAGTGAGCCGCCGTTCTTGTATTTCACCTTTCCGTGTAGTCCGCTGGCGGATCGTTCCTCTTTGAAGTTTAGGACAAGTTAATGGGGAGGGCTTAAGTGCTTTGAGTGCGTGCAGGTGGCGTCGGGAGGAATGAAAAAGCCGGTGATTGAGGCACCGCCATCGATATTCATTATATGCAATGGCTCCTTGTCAGTGAAGGAACAGAATGTGCGTTAAAACTTAAAGAAGAAAAAAAAGAAAAGAAATATATATATATATACATATATATATATATATATATATATATATATATATATATATATATATATATATATATATATATATATATATATATATATATATATATATATATATATATATATATATATATATATATATATATACGATATTTCAACTTCACTTTGTTCGCTCCTTTGCTGCCGTTAGCTTTTGTGTACGCCACTAATTATTGGAGGTCCCCCTGACAGTCTCGTACTTTGAGACCTGCAGATTCTGTATGTATCATGTAACCCGATTTTCTACAGGCAGTAATAATAAATAGACTTCAAACTTGAAACTTAAACTTTATGGCTTCTCAAGAGGTGTCTGTGATGGGAGTACTGCCTGAGATGAGAGCACTAAAATCTGCAAAGCAAAAACGTTTAGCTATATTAAATTGAAAAATATGCAGCAGTTATGCTAACAGTGAATAGGCATCATTCTTGCACACATCTACCTTTCTTTTGTGCTTCTTATTGCAAAAAATAGCTCAAATGCATATATTTCGTTACTTTGCCAGAAGATCTTCAACAAATACATTTGTATTTTACTAATTTCACGTGTAACGCCACAATATTACGGAAAGCATATCATCAGAAAGCATCGCGTGACACAGCTACGATTCAACATCGGTTTACTGATTTACAGAATAATATGTTGTGTGCTTCAGCATTCGCAGAGGATATTGGGTTATTGAAAAAAACACAATGCACCTCAAAATGTTAAAGTTGTTCAACTAATTTTTTTAATTTTGGAGTTTCGTCCTTGTTTTGTGGCACTTGGATCCATACAACTTGGTTATATATACATCGGCACAGAGCACGTTGCTAATGACACAGGAAAGAAAAGCTTTGAAACTTTCTGGCTACGTGACATAAGACAAAGGTAAAGGCAAGAATTCTTCATGCTGAGAACGGAATATGACCTTTAAGTTGGAATGACGCTCACGATAGCCAAATAGATTCTCTGGCTGTCGAGACATCTTATCAGTCGTCATGAACACGGCTTCTAACTTGAAGATAATTTTTTTCCGACGATTCCTTCAATACATAACGAAACGCGCTACGCTCTATTCCAAAAGTTAACTTCAAGTGGCAGTGGGAACGTTGAAGACATTGTCAGTCTAGGATAACGTATGTTCACAGTTTCATCTTAGCAAAAAATCAATCGGCTCCGTATTTTGCCTTGCACCTAAGCAGTTTTCAGCCAATGACAAGTACTTAATAGACGCTGCAGCACGAGACACTCTTTTAGGGGGCATATCTAATAACAAAATATGGTACGCTACATAGACATAGTGACAAGGGATGAAATAAGACGGGAAAATCAGCCGGCATGCAACCTATTCTCGACACATTCACATGAATAAAGAGCGAAAAAATAAGAGAGATTTCTTGCACACGCACACTATCTTATAAGAACCTATGAATGCAACACGCTTAATGCTACAACGACAAACTTTACGAAGGAATTCGGTATTCCCATAGCGCAATGCTTCTGCTGTATGTAAAGTAAATAAATGCTTATATCAATGCCACGAGGACAATTGAAAAAAAGCAGCTGAAACAAGATGTCATGGGCAACCGTGAAGTTGGGAAAAGCGAGCATATGTCGTATTCTGTACGTGTTTGTGTTAACACTCACTTGAACAGCACAAAACATTAGAATCCACCATCGCATACTGAGCGGAGTGGTCGTCGTTGTATCACAAAAGCTATGTCCGAGCCAGGTGTTCTCTTCCGTCGCACACCCTGGTGAAAGAAACGTACACCGATACGTGCAAGTACTCTCGCACTAACACTTCTAAGTTTGGTCAAGTTCACTTCAGGACGGCACGCTAAACACACAGGAGACGTCATCTGGTAGACAGCGGTCACGAGTCATTCGTAGGCAGTACCATGGGCAAAGTTGTCTTGTGCCGCTGCGTGCTCACTCCTCTCTTCGAATTCAGCTTCACAGGAAAATGGGCGTTTTCAACGGCCAAATACCAGAACTTATTTTCTTCCCCAGATTACGTGTGTAAGTGCGCATTATGAGCTCCGCATGAAAGGCTACTCCTCACCAACAGGATTCACTGCACAAATTAAGTCCACGCGCATAATTCCCTATTTGCAGACGAGCTCCATGTAGCACTGAAATTCTGACACACAGTCGTAACCACACGGAAAAAGAATGTTCTCTCAGTCGGCTACAGAAAAGAAAACGTAATTTAAGACTGACATATTTCAAGCTGTACAAACGAGCTATATTGCTAAGCTACCTAAGAAAACAAGCGAGAGTTTTCATAGCTCACGCAGCTAAACAGTAGCCAGAGACCGGGTTTATTTGGATACGTGTCTTTCGAAGAGCATGCGTTGCCACTGATAGTTGCCAATAACAAACTCTGCATCGTCTGAAGCTGCGCGGCATTCCTAAAGCGCAACTCAAGGAGCCAATCGTAGAAGTAAGTAATCTTTAGGCTTAACGAAGCAACAAACAGCACAAATTACACTTTAGTTCAAGACTTAGTTGACGAAAACTAACACTCGTTAATCTGAATCTGTGCTACGAGCGTTCGCTGTCAACCACGTTTGCCATAAACACCACGGCTTCCTAATGACCGAAGAAAAACGTTCTTGTTTGCCTCAGGTTAAGTAAAACGAGTTGTAGGAATAATTGGACGTATCATTCGGCATGAATATGACTACTCACGGCAACAAAGACTATGGTAATGTCCGTCAAATATAAGCAGTGCCGTTTATCGCCCTTCCCTTCCGTACAGACGTCCTTCCAGGAGGTAACCCCTCAACTGTGCGTCGAACATCATAAAATAGCATTCCGGTTTTGATGGCACGAATGATAGTGCGTGCCAAAGGACGAAAGTATACGCCACGCTGCTGCTTGGTCACAATAGCCCACGCCAACAGCTGTTGGCCACTGCGGTTGCTGCAAATTTAAGTTGAACAGCGCTAGTAGAACGTTCCCAAGCACGTTCACAATTCACGTTTAAAAAAAGTCTATTTCGCACTTTGCAGAGTCTTTTGGCCAAGGTGCCATGATCCAGGTGTCGTGATAACATGCCTCAGGAGAAGTCTTCATCGTCGTCGGTGTCCTTGATAATACCAATGCGTTTGCCACAGTTTCTCACTTTGTAGATGACCTCCTCCTGCATGAGGTTGAAGCACATGGCGATGAGCGCCATGCCCACCAGCAGGTAGAGCGAGCAGATGACCAGCTTCTCCTGAGAGCCACTGTCGGAGACCACGGTGTCGCCGGGCACCAGGTCCCCGAAGCCGATGGTGCTCAGCGTGACGAAGCAGAAGTAGGAGCCGTCCAGGAACTCCCAGCCCTCCCAGAGCGAAAAGATGACTGCACCTCCGGAGATGTAGCCGATCATGATGACGAAGCACAGCGTGATGGGCACCGACACGCGCGGCTTGCTCGCGCCGTCTTCATACACCTCGTCGTCGCCCGTGGCCAGGTTCTCGATACGCACCTGAGCACAAGAGAACAATTCGCATCGGTCAGGAGAAACTGACTCCTCACGCAGCACCATTAATTTACTGCTGATTTCAAATTAACAGTATTATTGCAGCTGACGCCATGTCGGTAGTTTATTAAATGGCGTGTGTTTCTCATATTAAAATTCTATTTTATTGTATTTAGTACGAAGGCTACACAGTGATATTATACAGAAGGACGTCCCTAAGTCAAAGATTGCAATTAGACTTCCTTTTCGAAGTAAAAAAGAAACAAGTGTTGTGTTGCTATCTGTACTACAGTACGTGAGAGGCATCGCTTATAACCGGGTGTCTGCGACGCCACCCTCTTACGGCACGTGTGGGAGTGGCCTGTGGGCGTATATATACTGGTTATTCTGTGCGAATCGCTTCTTTGTGCTACACGCATGCAGTGCCATAATAAAGGTGTTCTGGAAAAGCTTGACCTCTCTCTCTGCGGATGTAACAACGTGACGACAAGGGTGGGACAGGACAAGAAAGGAAGATGGCAATCGCTTTCTGCAAACTACCGAAATTCGCTCCCGGCAGCGGTAGCTTCGAAGTGTTCGGCGAAAGATTCGAGCTCTACACCACAGTTAATGAGATGCCGAGCCCAAGAAACTACACCTGTTCTTAAGCGCCATCGCAAAAGAAGGGTACGTGACGCTCCGAAGTCTGCAACTACCCCACACGGCGAGCACCTCGACATACCAGGAAGTCGTGTCGTCACTGAAGAAGCTCTATTCTCTGAGGTGGTCTGCGGTGACTGGACAATACCGTTTCAACGAAAGAAAGCGACTGATTGATATCTAGGGTTTGACGTACCAAAACCATAATATTATTATAAGAGACGCCGGAGTGGAGGGCTCCGAAAATTTCGACCACCTGGGGTTGTTTAACGTGCACCCAAATCTGAGCACACGGTCCCACAACATTTCCGCCTCCATCGGAAATGAAGCCGCCACAGCCGGGACTTGAACCCGCGACCTGCGGGTCAGCAGCCGAGTACCTTAGCAACTAGACCACCGTGGCGGGGCTCGAAAGGAAGCGAGCCCTTCAAAAAACTGTCACAGAATTTGAGGGTACAACTGAAGAAATTGACATCAGTTTGTGAATTGACACCTTTCTGAAACAAGCACTTCGGCGCCACCTGATAGCAGACCTACATTTTAAAGCGGCATGTTGCCGGTTTCAGACCATTAACGACGGTGAGATCACCTGGGGCCACGTTTGCAACATAGCTACGGCGATGGAGATGGCCGTGAAAGACGCTGTGAAAACATTGCCGAAAACGCCGTCGAACAGCAGTGCCATAGATTGGCAGAGCCAATCAGCAGTGTCACGCCAGAGTTCACAAAGTGGGGCATACATCAGCCACGGCTTTGAACCGCAACAGACTTTGGTGACATGAACTAAGACTGTCTGTCGGCGATGCGGTGAACAACACGCACCTGTACGTTGTCGTTTTCTGAACAGCATGTGTTATCGATGTCAAAAGAAGGACCTTGTCACGAAAATGTGTAAAAGCAGCGTCGTACATCAGCTAGATAAGCAGCACTCGTCGAACACTGAAGTGCAAACGTTTTGTCACACCTGTAACCGCTCGCAAATTCGTGACAGTATAATAAATGTTAGAGTAAACGGAAAGAGGTACCCATGGAACTAGACACGGGAGCGGCATTTCCTATTTTGTCAAAAGCAGAGAGCACGAAGCAGAGGGCGCGAATTTCAGGCAAGCAGATATCAAGCTTGTTACATATAACAGCACACCAGTTGATACCAAAGGGGTCATTGACGCTGAAGTGCAATACCACGAGCAGTGCTTTCCTTTGCCGCTAGTTATCGCTAAAAAAAAAGAAGCGTCAAAGAACGTCCACGTTGTTTGGTCGTAACTGGATGGATAAAATCAAAATCCGATGGCATGAAGTAATGCAACTAAAGGCACTGACAAAATAATTTTTTTGACTGGCAAATACTGCGAGTGTTTGAGCCGGGTTACGGACTGATAAGAGGGTTCAAGGCGACCATATAGTTGTTAACCAAAACGCCTCACCTGTAATCTGCAAGGCGTGAACAGCGCCGTACACGCTACGCGAACAAGTCGAGTATTGGCAAACTTAGAAAAAGCTGCAGTCATTTACCGGGTGCGGCACAGTGCATGAGTGACATCTCTGGTTATCGTGCAAAAAAATATAACAAGAAGCTTCGGCTATATGGTGACTACCCTGTCCGTGACGGTGAATCCTGACATAAAGGTGTAACAATACCTGCTCTTTCTGCCGGAGGACATTTCTGCAACGTCTTTTGGGTTCTTGATTTGTCCAACGCGTACTTGCAGCTTGACTTGGACAAGCGAGCACAAGAACATGTTACTGTCAATACCCACTTGGGGTTATTGAGGATCCGGCACTTGCCATACGATGTAGCCTATCCACGGGCGGTGTTTGAGGCCATGATGGATCTTACACAGGCTCTCAAAAACATTTCCGATGGAGGCGGAACTGTTGTAGGCCCGTGTGCTCAGATTTGGGTGCACGTTAAAGAACCCCAGGTGGTCGAAATTTCCGGAGGCCTCCACTACGGCGTCACTTGTAATCATATGACGGTTTTGGGACGTTAAACCCCACATATCAATAAATCACAGGCTCTCAAAAAATGGCATGTTTCTCAGATGACGGTGTCATCGTAGGCGCAAATAGAAAGCCACGCCATGACAGGGTTCAGCTCATGCGCCTAAGAGAACATGGCTCATACGCCTAAGATAACATAGCACAGGAGTCAACACTGATAAGTATAAGTTGTTCTGAGGATGAATAAGATACATTAGTCATTAAGTAGACCACAAGTGGTCTCATTCTACGGCGGACAAAGTAGTTACCATCAAACAAGTGCCAAAGCCAGGCAACTTGACCCAGCGCAAAGCCTTCTAGGGCTTGATCAATTTCTACTCTAAAATTTGCACCAGCATAACTTGTTGTGCCGAGAAACAGCATGAAGTTTTTCACGTCAATGTGATGAGGCATTTATACCTTGTAAGGAACTGCTAACTAAAAAAAATGCATTGTATGATGTCAACAAAAAAATACATTTAACGTGTGACGCGTCCGAGCAAGGTTAGGGGGCTGTTTGTTCGCATCTTGTGGGTGGCACAGATAAGCCAATAACATTTGCGTAGCGATCACTATCAGATGCCGAACGTAATTACAGCTGAATAGAAAAAGAAGCTTTGAGCATTGTAATTGGTGTGAAGCGACTTCATAACAACTTGTATGGTCCAACATTGACGGTTCTTACCGACCATAAACCTCTCATCCTGCTGTTCGACACGAAAACGAAAGCTAGTGCTGTAACCACAGCTAGAGTACACCGATGGTTTGCTTTCTCAGCTAACTACAGCTATAAGATTGTGCATAAGCCACGCACAGCAATTAGTAACGCATGTGCTTTATCTAGACGGTTCTTGCCCCAGATCTCGGAGCAAAATTAAGACTTTTTTATTTTGCCACTCTGAACGAACTACCCCTGACAACAACAGATATAGGAAACAACGCGCGACAGGCTACCGTATCAGTAGTGCGCGACACGATTTTGCATGACTGGGCGAAAGCTGCCGCTGAAGACCTGCAACCATTTTGGGTGCGACGTTTTGAACTCTGTCGATGCTGGTTGCGTCGCTTGAAGGAATAGGACAGTTATTATGAATTATTTACAAAGAGTTGTCATGAAACTGTAGCACGAACAACGCACTGGAATCACAAATATAAAAATGGTTGCAAGGTCAATGGTTTCGTGGCCCGAAATCGGTGATGCAGTGGAAAAAACCGTGAAAAAATGCAGCGTTTGTCAAAGCCTATAGACCGCAACACAGCTAGCACCTTTGAGCCCGGGAAAATTGGGTGAACACCCATGAGAAAGAGTGCATCTTGACTTCGCTGAGAAGAAAGGTAAAATGTTTCTATTAGCAGTTGATGCGCACAGTAGGTGACAAGAAGTGAAAGTATGCAGCACGATGACGGCTACTATAGCAGCGGGAGTTCGGTCTTTGGTTGCCGCACAAGGACTTTCTTTAAATATAGTAACAAATAACGGGCTGCGATTCCATGCTCATGAATTCAAAAGCTTTCTAAAAGCGCAAAACACACGTTCACACCCCCGTACCATCCGCAGTCCGACGGGGCAGTGGAGCGGGTGGTACAAACTACTGAGACATCCCTATTTTGTTGGAGGACAAATAAAAAGCCAGTGCAAGAACATTTCAGCACAAAATATATAATTTTCTGTTGCGTTATCGCGCAATGCCGCATATATTCAATAGAAAGACACCGGCTGAACTGTATTTGAAAAGACTGTTCCGGACCAGGTTGTCTTCGGTGCAGCCATCTCTGACATGGCCACGAGCAAGAAAGTAGAAAGGGTGAAACAGTCATCTCGACGCATATAGTTGGGCATTTGGGCACTTGTCATCCGATAAGCGCACAGCAAACACGCGACATTTCGAGGTTGCTGACTATGTGCTGCTTTGCCGCGTGCGAGAGAAATTGGTAAAACGGTGCCGGCAAAAGTTATGTGAGTTAAGCAAAGAGTAACATATAAAGTTAAGACAGGGCACTCCCATAGGCCCCTGCGGTCGATTTGGGTTTTAGGGAGCCTTCGCAGCCTCAGAGATGGGATACCGCAGGAAAATGATGTCTGCAAGGCCATTTTGTGGTGACTAGAAATAATATACAGCCTCTGAGACCACTTCTACGTGCGTGCTCGTCTCTGAGGCAATACTTTAACTTTTTTTCAGGCGTCGTTTGCATGCGTTCATGAGCTTTGCGTAAGCTGCACCGCTAGAGCAGCAAGTACGCGATTCCTATATGTGTCTATGCAAACATTTTATTTAGAACATTAGAATATTCGGAAGAGTGAAAACATTTAATGCCAAGTGATATTCATGGTAAGCACATGCCCACCTAGATAATGTTCGATAAACGCAGGCGCAAAGAGACGTTCA